AGGGAGAAGAAAGGAGAAAGGAAAAAGGAAAAGAAAGGAGAAAGGAAAAGAGAGAAGGGAGAAGAAAGGAGAAAGGAAAAGTGAGAAGGGAGAAGAAAGGAGAAAGGAAAAAGGAAAAGAAAGGAGAATGGAAAAGAGAGAAGGGAGAAGAAAGGAGAAAGGAAAAAGGAAAAGAAAGGAGAAAGGAAAAGAGAGAAGGGAGAAGAAAGGAGAAAGGAAAAGTGAGAAGGGAGAAGAAAGGAGAAAGGAAAAAGGAAAAGAAAGGAGAATGGAAAAGAGAGAAGGGAGAAGAAAGGAGAAAGGAAAAAGGAAAAGAAAGGAGAATGGAAAAGAGAGAAGGGAGAAGAAAGGAGAAAGGAAAAAGGAAAAGAAAGGAGAAGAAAGAAGAGGAAATGGAAAAGAAAGAAGGAAAAAAACACCAAATGAGCAAATGGACCAAATGAGGTCAAATCAAGGCAAGGTTCCAGACTGGGGAAAAGATCTTTTTGTTTCACTCCTCCTTATACACAAGTCTTATAAAGTTGCCAAGTTCGGAGACCACTGCGATATACATGTCATTAATAAATGAAATAAATAAAAATCCGCCCCCTCCCAGTTATCCTATTTTTTCCAGCCAGAAACTCAGGAACCCCATCACCACCACCCTTCTCGAGAGGTTAGGTTAGGTTCATTGGTTTTGTATGCCGCCCACTCCCGAAGGATTCCGGGCGGAGAGGAGGGCTCTGGACAGCTACAAGGCCAACCATTGAGCAAAGAGGAATTTACCTGCCGTCGTGTTTTCCCACCGGTTCGTCATACTTGATCCCAACCCAGTAACCAGGTTTGAATTCTGTTAAGCCTGGGAAAAACCAAAGGAAAAGTCGTGAGAACTGAGGAAGCTCCTTGGATGAGAAGGGAAACGTCTTCAAAGGGGAAAACAACCAAAAACAAAAGGAAACCAGCAGAGCCCAGTTGCCTTTTGAAAAGCATCTTCGGGACATCGGACGAATACTCACCCACGTACATGACGGTCCCCCGTTTGCTGGGCTGCCCCGTGACTCGCACTTCGCACCTGGCCCCCACGGAAATGGCCTCCGCCAGGGCTTTCTCCTCCAGCAGCTTCTGCTCCGCCTCGGACTCCTTCCCCGGCGTTTCCTTGTACTGCCCCAGGTGGCTGCGCTTCATGAACGAGCGAGCCGAATCTGTGGGGCAGAGGCAGCGGCTTAAGAGAGGCCCTTCCCCCTTGCCCGGGCTCCAAAGATGCTCTGTGCACAGCCACTCGTGTCCTCGTCCTTTCTCGCCTGGACTACTGTAAGGCTCTCTACGTGGGGCTGCCCTTGAAGAGCACGCGGAGGCTTCCGTGACCCGTCAAAACCGCGTTCCACAAAAGCGCGGTCGACGAAATCGCGTATGTGACGTCATCACAGCGCGACGAAAA